TGCCTCAAGCTGCTGATTTATTTAGGCTTCTGGATAAACAGAAGAGAATGCATGGCAAATTTCAGTTGATGAGAGAAAGCAATTTCCTGAAGGGACAACCAGCATGAAGAGAAGATTGGGGAGAGAGAAGTAGTGCTGTCCTGGCATATTTTCTGCCTTTCATCTGACTACTCAAAAGAAGAGTGTGAAAATTAGAACTAGAGGACCAGGGTTTGAGCTCAGTTTTCTACTTTACTGGTTGAGCGAATTTGGGCATGTCACCTAAACTCTTTGTTGTGCCTAAACTGTGGAGAGTTACTGTGACTCACAGGATTATGGGTCACAGGTCTAAATGAGAGTTTATGTGAAATTGCTCAGCCAGTGCCTGCCGTATTCAATAACAGACTGATTAGCAGAGAGAGAGGTCAAGGTGGTTAGGACGTGGATAAGATAAGGTGAAAGACTAGGCAGAAATCATGTTGGATCCCTGGATAGGGGTGACGATGAAAACAAGGGGCTGTATTTGGGAAGGTATTTTGTAATGTTAGCATGCATCCTGGCTAAGGTGTGGTCATTGAGTGACTTTGGCCAAGTCCTCTAATGTCTGTGCTTCATTCTCCCCTTCTATGAAATTGGGATAATGATAGCACTTTTCTTATAAAGTTGTTGGGAGTTCGGAGGGGCTACTGAATATAAAATTATTAGAAGAGAGTTTGACACAGAGTAAATGCTATTTAAGTGCTTTATGCTAGTATTAAATACACCCTGGCATGTCTTCCAATTTATAATAACCATCTCATTCACTTCTTAGGTACCATTCTCACCCTCAGTGATATATCTTCACTATCGATGTGTTCATTGAGATCCTCCACTCCCTTTCCACAGTTGGAAAGTTTCTACCAATCAAAGGAATGACTCTTGGAATTACAAGTTTGAAGAAAGTAGTGAGAAAAGGGGAATCCCCGGGCATGCAAATGATTAATGCACCCAGCTTCTAACCAAAAGGTTAGTGATTCAAGTTCACCCAGAGGCAGTTGGGAAGAAAGGTCTAGTAACCTACTTCTGAAAAATCAGCCATTGAAAGTCCTATGGAGCACAATTCTACTCTAATGACATAGGGTCACCATGAGTCAGAGTTTATTTGATTGTACCAGGTAAGTGAAAAGAAAGGAGAGGTGGGAGAGGAAGAAAGAGACAGTGAGGCTGACAGGCTGATGATTCCCTATTTGGCCATATCAAAACTATAAAGAGCTGCCAAGTAGTCAGGTTTCCCACTTGAGAAGCAGAGAAATCTGATTTACAGAGAAAGAAAGAAAAATGAATGGGACACACAGAGATGTAAAATGGAAAGAATGTTCTGCTCCCTTTGTGGCTCCTGGTTCTAGTTCTTTCCTGGGATCCAGTGGTACCTTGCCATGAATTCTGTGAGACACTCCTTGATTCCTAGAATCAATCCTCTCTGCTACATAAGATTCCTTGAGTTGCTGCCTCTTACTTGCAATCAGAAGTGTTCTGCCAATCTTTGGATTCAGGGAAGAGAGTGAATTATGCATGATGGCTGATATCTACATCCAGGAATTTCTGCTTATGATATTTACAGGAGCTGATGTTCAAGCATATGGGTTGAATTACACACCCAGGCTAAAATTCACTATGATGCTGGAAATAGAAAAATCAGGCCATGATAAAAGAAGATAAGCAGAGATGCTTTGTTCCAGTGTCTCTTCATGAACTAGTCAATATCTGAGATCTTCATACTAAGTTTATAGTCAGATATTTCCCAATTTTCCTCAGTATTATTCAGGCTGGTTTAGGCAAAAGGAGAATTTATTTTTCTTTGAATGGAACTAAACTGACGGAAAAGCAGCTACAGGAATGAGGCTCAAGAATTAACTAGAATTAGGGTCTTAAATATCCTGAGGACTCTCAGTGTATTCCTTGTCTCTCTCTGTCTTGGCTTTATTTTTTTCATCTTATTTCTACATGAAACAATGGAAAGAAGACAACTTTTTATCACTGGAAAGGTATAGTCCTACTGGCCCAAGTTCCTATGTCCCAGGTAAGGGATTCAATGGTCTAATTTGCACCAGGTGTCTATTCCTGTACCAATCACTTGTGGCTACTACAAGTTTGAGAACCATGACTGGTTTAGCTTGGGTAAAGAGCTCACTCTAGGAGCAATCAGATATGGTAAGGGGGTCATTGGCATGAAAGAACATTGCAGGAGGAGAGAAGAAAAGGAGATGGTACTGGGCAGATATCCTCTTGTTGTTGTTTGCTGTCGAGTCGGCCCCGACTCATAGTGACCCCTCCTTGGGTTTCCGAGGCAGTATCACTATGGAAGTAGGATTGCCCAACCTTCCTTCCCTAATACCCTGAATATTTGGGGGCTTTTAATATGTTTTCAAATGAGTCTCTATTGTCTATGAATAATAACCAAGAATCACATCACTTCCCTGTTTCTTTAACCAAGAAAACTTAGTTCTAAGTTGTTAATAATATCCTACTTGGTATCACAATATTTAATGGTATAGGCTAGGGAAGAGAATTCTTTGATTTACTGTTCAGAAATGAGCATCTTGGCTTACTACATAGCAGCTGTTCATCTATAGTCTTTTTAAAAATTAAAGTTAGCCTAACATTAGTTTCTTAAATTATCATGCCAAGTCTCAAAGTGAACTAAACAACTAAAATAAAGGTGTCATGAGCTTGCTTTTGAAGTGTGCATGTGTGATTCTATTTAAATGGGGATGAATACTTACTAGTTAGGGATGTATAGGCTGTCTAAGGCAGGGGAATGGACCAAATGATCTCTGATTTCTTGATTATCTGCTCAGAGGACAAAGTGAGTTTAAGGTGAAATAAATTCCAGAGACTTACTGATGTTTACTCCCACATTAAGCAGGATTTGAAAACATAAGAGCCTTTTATACTACCTTTAGCCAAATCTGTAATTGCAAACTATTTTTAGCCACCAGACTGACTCAACCAAAAACTTTGAAGGTGTCCAAAAACAAGATGCAAAACATTTCAATAAAACTGCTTGAGCATAAACAGAGGGATTTTCACGTTTCTTGGAATCTCTCTTTGGTTTCACTTCCAGTAGGATCCCTCTCCATGTGTCTAAGTCCTGAGATACTTTCTCTGGAAAGAGAAGGTTTAATGCGAAGCTATACTCCTTGCCCATCCCTCCTGTCATACTCCAGTCCCCTACCCTCACATGCACAAATGTCCTTTGACTACAATATAAACCAGTAGGGTCTTATCTTCATTTAAAATTTTGATCATGGATTTTTCATTATGGATTTTTTTGCATGAATTATCATTGTTTTTTAAAATATTGCAATAAGGGCTTATTTACCTTGATTACTGAGTTTTTTTTGGGGGGCTCCCTTAACTTTTGCACCTGAATTGAGGGCCTCATCCTAGTCCCAGGGTAGATAGCCTCATAACCAAAAACCTTATAACCAGTAGCTGTCAAGCTCAGTCTGGATTTCCCCATCTCAAATGCAAAAGTAGTAACTAAAATTTTCTTATTGGGCTCTTTTGAGGATTGAGTGAGATGGTACATGTAAAACATTTAGCATGCTTGACACAGAGTCAGCACTCAGTAAATACTGACAGCATTACTGCTGGTAATGATAATAACACAAACAACAGCAGTAATAATAGATAACATAGCTACAGTCATCAACAATAAGACATAATCCATCCCTAGGGAAATCATATCTACTGGGAGACTCAGACACAGAAACAATAATCACGATTCAATTAAGAGCTATAATAAAGGTCTATGTGAGACATGATGAAGGTGCAAAGGTGGGAGGAACTCACTGCTAACCACTTAGAGAAGGTGCTGTAAGTCAGATATTGAAGGCTGAGTTGGACAGTTTATCAAATGGAGAAAAAAAGAAAGTCTATTCCAGTGTGTTGAGAGACCAGTGGGTACAAAGACATAGAGTCTGCAAAGGCCTGAGATACTCAGAGGAAGACATTCTCAGTAACTGGACCAGGGAGTTCTGGTGGGGAATGTTGTGGGAGTTGAGGCCAATAAGGAAGACTGATTAAGAGCTTTGGATATCATCCTAAAGAGGTTAGTTTTCTTTCTTTCTTTTTTCCTTTCCTGGGGATAGTGGAGAAATCTGTTGAAGGTTTTTTAGGCTAGATTTTGAAATGTTCATATATGAGTATTAGAATGGCAACATTGTGAGGGATGGATAGGAGATAAGGAGAGATTCAGAGCCAGGAATCCTCATTAGAAGACTACTGCAAGATCCAGGCTTGGAACATAAGGACCTGATTCAAAGCCCTAAAGAGTGGTGTTGGACAGCAGCAAAGAAATGAAGACAGCATTAGTGAGACCAGGTGGCTACTTGAGTGTAGAGTGGTGTGGAAAGGAAGGTAAAATTAAGAATGAGTAGAAAGTTTAGTCTATAGTAACTGGGTAAAGATTACCAGAAAAGTAAATGCAGGTATATATGCGTGGTGGGAGGAGGAAGATAAGGAGACTTTGAACACATTAAATTTGAAAGGCCTGTGGAACATTTAAGTGGAGCTGTCCAATAGACAGTTGCAAATAGGAGTCTGGAAATGAGAAGAGAGGTGGAGGCAAAAGTTTGGGTGTTGTCTGGAATAAAAGAAATGCATATGGTATCTCTAGGAAAGCTTGAATGCAGAGAAGAGGGCCTCATCAGGGAGACTGTCCTCATCTTCCCTCCTCTGGGCTTCTTAAACTTATCTTCCAATGAAAAAACCAATCCACTTGCTGTCGATCCAATTCTGAATCATGGTGACCCCAGGAGTGTCAGAGTAGAATTGTGCTCCACAGGGCTTTCAATGGTTATGATCTTCTGCAACAGGCCTTTCTTCTGAGTCACCCCTAGGTGGATTTGAACTGCCAACCTTTTGGTTAGTAGCCGAGCACTTAAAATTTTATCTTCAGAAATCCCTTAACAATTAGTGTATCTCCTGTATAGGACTTCTGCCTGGTTCCCCAGCAAATGTCCCCAGAGTTTCCTTACCCTGGCTATTTGGTCTGCCATTTGGAGACGTCCATCCAACTCCCGTCTGATCTGTGCTGCTTGTTCATCTGGATTATCCAGCTGCATGAAAACACAAACACAGAAACTTTCAGTTTGGATCAAAACATCCAGTAAACTCATGACTTTCCGTTTATACCTCGCATTCAAACATACACCTCCTTAGAAATATTTCACCTTGACATTCCCTAAAAGTTCCAATTTGTATGAAATACAAGTTAAATTCTCCTAGGCACATGTGATGTGGTGGCAGTTGCTAGAAGAGACACTTGAATAACCTTTTACAAGAGTCATAAATCATTTCTGAACTGCTATGCAGCAGAGCTTCTAATAAGGGCTTACTGCAATGTCTCTGTTTTGGTCCAATGGAAAAAAATGCTTACAGAGCAGGCATACAAGAAAGGAGATAGTAATATAACTATTAGAAACCTATGGAGCAGATGTAGTGCTCAGCCATAGGGCATGAAAATCAATTACTGTTAAGTTGGCTCTGACTCATGTGTGCCACAGTAGAATTGTGCTCCACAGGGTTTTCAATGGCTGAGTTGTCCAAAGTAGATCATCAAGGCTTTCTTCCAAGGTGCCTTTGGGTGGACTCAAACTTTCAAACTTTCAGTTAGTAGACAAGTGTATTAACCTCTGGCACCACCTTGGGACTCCATAGCACGTGTTGTTGTTGTTGTTATTATGTGCTGTCGAGTCGGACCTGACTTATAGCGACCCCTCCTTGGGTTTCCGAGGCAGTATCATTACAGAAGTAGATTGCCCCATCTTCCTTCCGAGGAGTGGCTGGTGGATTTGAACTGCCAGCCTTCTGGTTAGCAGTCAAGTGCCTTAGGCACTATGCTACCAGAGTTCCATAGCACATGGCACATATTCTGCTGCTCTCCCATACCTGGCCCATGGAAGACTATTCAATCATTTCATTCCTTCTGATGAAGCATGGAGATAGTCTCAACTAGCATTCCAGATGGCCACTATCACTTCATTGATGTTGATACATAAACTGAAATTTATTCTTATCTTACTTGATGGTTAGAGCTATATAAGCGTCAGAAGACCCAAGCAGCAGTAAGTCTGGGCCATACCTTAACTTCTTTGGTTTCAGTTTGCACATCTAAAGAAAGGAGTTGGTTATATAATCTTCTTTCCTTTCAACTCTAACTTTCTATGAATCTATGACAGGGATGGATGGATATTTTTGTAAAGGGCCAGATAATGAATGTTTCAGGCTTTTTGGGCCATAAGGTCTCTGTTGCAGTGACTCAGCTCTTTCACTATAGTGTGAAAATAGCCATTGGCAATTATAAATGAATGAGCATGGCTGTATTCCAATAAAACTTTATTTTATTGGAACAAGTGTGAGCTGTAGTTTGATGAGTCCTGCTCTATGAGTGAAATTTTTCTCCTTATTTGCAGACAAGCCTACCATTACTCTTCATACAGTAATTGAATCTGCTTTCTTCCAGGAACCTATGATTTATCCTGTTTACAAAAATGTTTAGTTAAGTACAGAACTGTGGCATTCAAATAGGTTGGACTTAATTCCTCTTTTTAATACATGTTAACTACAACAAAAATATACCTTAAAGCATATGTGCACTTTCTAAGTCTGTTTCTCCTGAAAGCTAAATTGCAAGTGATATAAAACCTAGTCCCATGCTTAAAAAAAAAAAAAGAATGACTCTTACCTATACTATGAAACGGAATAAACCAAAAAACCAAACTCATTGCCGTGGAGTAGGATCTGACTCATAGTGACCTCTCCTTGGGTTTCTGAGGCAGTATCACTACGGAAGTAGATCGCCCAACCTTCCTTCTGAGGAGTGGCTGGTGGGTTTGAATTGCCAGCCTTCTAGTTAGCAGTCAAATGCTTTAGGCACTACACCACCAGAGCTCCCATGAAAAGGTATAGAAAATAAATTATTTCTAATATGAAATAATAAAAAAAAAAATTATTCTCATACTTTTGAAGCATCATGATTAGTCTACTTTGGTTTATACTAGAGTTTTGAACCAGTTCAAAGCTCTGGTTTATATTTTATAAAACACATAAAGTCCATCTGTTTTCTTCATGCCATGCATTTTTATCACACTATTCAATTCAGGAGTCAGCACTGCTTTATCTTCTCTTTCTGACGGTTTCTTTTTAAATTTTAATTGTGGTAAAATGTAGCAAAAGAAACCTCCAAACTTATTGCCATGGAGCTGATTCTAACTCATAGTGACCCCCCACTGAGTTTCAAGGCTATAAATCTTTACAGAAGCAAATGGCCTCATCTTCCTTCCATGGAGCAGCTAGTAGGTTAGAACTGCCAACCTTTTGGTTAGCAGCCAAATGCCTCAACCACTACACCATGAGAGCTTCTGTGGTAAAATATATAGCACTAACTGTCCCTTCTACTCTATCCCCTGCCCCTGGGAACCACAAATTTACTTTCTGTCTCTATGCATTTGCCTATTCTAGATGTCCCCCAGAAGTGGAATCTTACAGTATTTGTCCTTTTATATCTATCTGGCTTCATATTTCCACAGTTCATCTATGTCAAATATCAGGACCTCATTTCTCTTTGTGACTGAATAACATTCCATTGCTTGGATAGCCTACATTTTGTTTATCCATTCATCTATTGATGGACACTTGGGTTGTTTTGACCTTTTGGCTACTGTGAATAATTCTGCAATGAACATTGGTGTACATGCATCTATTTAAGTCTCTACTTTTAATTCTTTTTGTTACATACCCAGGAATGGAATCACTGGCTCATGTGGTAATTCTATGTTTAACTTTTTGAGGAAATGCCAAACTGCTTTCCACAGCAGCTGCACCATTTTACATTTCCTCCTAGCATTAGATGAGGGTTCTGATTTTTCTACATCCTCATTAGCATTTGTTATTTTCCATTTTTTAAAAAAAATTTATAATAGCCATCCTGGTAGGTATGAAGTGGTTCCCAGCTAATTCCTCAGTTTTAAGGAACAGGACTATATCTTACATTATGAATATTGGAATATATTTGACCATATATTCTCCAGTGCTATTTCCTAAAGGGTGTTATGCTGAACAATTTTATTAGACTCTCCAGAAGAAAGGGTTCTGTGGTCAGATAAATATGGTAAATGCTGCATCAAAATACATAATCTGAGAAGTTATGCAGTAAGGAAATCTGTTAGATTTTGTACAACTTAACTCTCTTTTAATGGTACATTTTTTGTTTTTTGCATAATGCCCATAGGACACCAGTTTGAAAATCCTGTTCTACATAAATATAAAGAGAACCAACCAAAAGCAATCACATTACTTGCTGACCAGTAGTCCATCCTGATTGCCACTTGCTGATGGGCCCACATGGGAAACATGGTCTCCTCAGTGTTGCTTTTAAGCTCCAATAAGCTGCTGCTCTTCTATTCCCTTAGAAGCACAAGAGTTCTTCAGATCCAGATGCAAACCCACAGAGAATGTTCAGAAACATTTTGCTCAAAATATGTATGTAAATGAAACATCTGACTGGGAATTCTATCAGAAGATATGGTGCTTGCACAAATTAAAATTAAAGAGGGGGAACACAGCACAGTAGGCTCATCCCCATTACTAAGTTTTACAGAAGCATTTCAGTTCACCCACTGGCCTCCTAGAATGCCACTGGAAACAAAAGAGAATACTGACAATGAAGATTAGCAGTCAAGGTGTACATACAACTTCATTCATTCACTAATTTACTAGTTCATTCATTTACTTATTCATTCATCAAATTTTATGGCATATCTTTGACATGCCAAGACACTAAGATACAGAAATGAACAAGATAGACCCAGTCCCTGCCTCCATGGAGCTTCAATCTAGCAAAAATTGATACAGTTATTTGAACAATTAGTGCACAAAGGGGAAGAGATTAGTGTTTGTTTATGCCTATATCAAGCACAGGTCCCTATGACCTTTATTAAGGCTTTTTCTAAATGATACCACCAGAAAGCAGATGTTAATGGCATTTCCCCCAGGAAAAAGAGTTCTGGGGTTAGGATGTCCTCTCCTTCTGGAAAATTTGCAATATGTATTAGTATAATCAAAACTCTGAGAGGCTCTAAATTAAATAAGCCCAATTAACTGCATTTGACTTTGTCTTTTACTCAGTTATTCCACCAAAAGCAAAGATTCCACAGAACAGTTTGGGAAATTCCACACGGTAAACAACTTTAGGTACCATTGTTGTTATTCTTAGGTGCCATTGTATCAGCTTTGAATCATAGCAACCCTACACACAACAAAACTAAACACTGCCTGGTCCTGCGTCAGCCTCACAATCCTTGCTATACTTGTTCCCATCATTGCAGCCACTGTGTCAATCTGTCTTATTGAGGGCCTTCCCCTTCTTCAATGAACATCCACTTTACCAAGCATGATATCCTTCTCCAAGGAATGGTCCCTTCTGACAACATGACCAAAGTAAGTGTGATAGTTAAGGTTGTGTGTCATGTCAACTTGGCTGGGCCTGGTTAAGTGACTGGGCAGCTGGATGTAGTATTCCCCATGATGACACTGGTAATCAGGTCCGTGGTGGGAATCTACCACAAGCAGCTGAGTAGCTGCTTTAAGGATGTGTGATCTGCTTCCTGTATATAAGCAGCAGCTTTGGGAATGGTTTCTAGCTTATGGCATGCTTGAACCCTGCATGTGGCTGTGTTGTTGTTCAGCAGGCTGCCATGCTCTGCCAACCTTGGGACTTTCAATGGACTTGAATTAATGTCTTGTCATGTGGTTTGGTAACATCAGGACTGTGCCTTTTTACTTGTCAACCTTGGGCTTGTCAGTCTTAGCAGCCAGCAGCTGTCTGAGTGAAGAAAAAGTCTCTAGCTTCACTGGGCTGGGAGCAGGAGGCAGAGCTGAAGCCCAAGGTTGAGGTGCTTTCACCCAGCCCCTAGAGCCTGGCATTTTTAACTCAGACTTAAACCCTTCAAACTGTAAAATTATAAACTGTTTGTTCAGCCATTCTGATTTGTGGTATATTTCTGTTAGACTGGCACTAGGTAACCAAAACAGTAGATGAGACGAAGTCTGGCCATTC